GTTGCCTACAAGAGACACACCTGAGACTCAAAGACACAAACAAACTAAAACTCAAAGGATGGAAAAAAATATATCAAGCAAACAACACTCAGAAAAGAGCAAGAGTGGCAATATTAATCTCTGACAAAATAGACTCTAAAGTAAAATCTACTACAAAGGATAAGGAAGGACACTATTTAATGATTAAAGGGTCAATACATCAGGAGGACATAACTATAATAAATATTTACGCACCCAATGACAGAGCTCCAAAATACAGAAAACAAACTCTAAGAGCATTGAAAAGAGAGATAGACAGCTCCACAATAGTAGTAGGAGATTTCAACATACCACTTTTGGTGAAGGACAGAACATCCAGAAAGAAGCCCAACAAAGACACGGAAGATCTAAATGCTGAAATAAACCAACTTCATCTCATAGACATATACTGACCACTCCACCCAACAATAGCCAAGTATACTTTCTTTTCCAACACACATGGAACATTCTCCAGAATAGACCACATATTAGGCCATAAAGCAAGCCTTAACGAAATCCAAAGCATCGAAATATTACAAAGCATCTTTTCTGACCACAAAGTCACAAAAGTAGAAATCAATAACAGAAAAAGCAAGGAAAAAAAATCAAACACATGGAAACTGAACAACACCTTGCTCAAAAACTACTGGGTTATAGAAGAAATTAAGGACGGAGGAAAGAAATTCATAGAATCAAATGAGAATGAAAACACATCCTATCAGAACCTTTGGGAAACAGCAAAAGCAGTGCTCAGAGGTCAGTTTATAGCAATAAATGCACACATCCAAAAAGAAGAAAGGGCCATAATCAAAACATTAACTCTACAACTGGAACAAGTAGAAAGAGAGCAGCTAAAGAACCCCTCAAGTGCCAGAAGAAAGGAAAAAATAAGAATTAGAGCAGAATTAAGTGAAAAAGAGAACAGAAAAACAATTGAAAGCATTAACAAGACCAAAAGCAGGTTCTTTGAAAAGGACAACAAAATTGATAAACCATTGGCCAAACTGACAAAAGAAAAACAGGAGAGAAAGCAAATACCCGTATAAGAAATGAGATGGGTGATATCACAACAGACCTAACTGAAATTAAAAGAATTATAACAGAATACTATGAAAAATTGTACTCTAACAGATATGAAAACCTAGAGGAAATGGACAAATTTCTAGAAACTCCCTACCTACCTAAACTAACACAAACAGAGCTAGAACAACTAAATAAACCCATAACAAAAGAAGAGATTTGAAAGGTAATTTAAAAACTCCCGATTTAAAAAAAGCCCTGGCCCAGATGGCTTCACTGGAGAATTCTACCAAACTTTCAGAGAAGAGTTAATACCACTACTGCTAAAGGTATTTCAGAGTATAGAAAAGGAGGGAATACCCCCAAACTTATTCTATGAAACCAGCATAACCCTGATACCAAAACCAAGTAAAGACACCACAAAAGAACAAAATTACAGACCAATATCCCTCATGAACATTGACGCAAAAATCCTCAAAGAAACTCTAGCAAGTAGAATTCAGCAACATACCAAAAAAATAATTCAACACGATTAAGTGGGATTTATACCAGGTATGCAAGAATGGTTCAACATTAGAAAAACAATCAATATAATCCATTGCATTAATAAAACAAAAGACAAGAACCACATGATCTTATCAACTGATGCAGAAAAGGCATTTGACAAAGTCCAACACCCACTTATGATAAAAACTCTCAACAAAATAGGAATAGAAGGGAAATTCCTCAGTATAATTAAGGGCATTTCTACAAAGCCAACAGCCAACGTCATCCTAAATGGAGAGACTTTGAAAGCATTCCCCTTGAGAATGGGAAGCAGACAAGGATGCCCTTTATCACCACTCTTATTCAACATTGTGCTGGAGGTC